ATGTTTCAAGGGTTATTGTACATAGGGTCACTATGAGTCATAAGTGACTAGGCAGCATATAACAACAACATATGCATGTGAAAGTTGAACAATGAATAAGAAAGACTGAAGAAGAATTCTTGCCTTTGAATAGTGGTGTTGGTGAAGAATATTGACAAATACTACGGAGTCATAAGAACAAACAAATCTGTTTTTGAGGAAGTGAAATAAAAATGCTTCTTAGAAATAAAGGGAGTGAGACTTTCTCCTACATACTTTTGTCATATTATCAGGAAAGGCCTGTCCCTGGAAAATTATATTATGCTTGGGAAAGTACAGTCTACTAAAGAGAGAAAGATTCTTAACATGTTAGACTGACACAGTAACTGCAGCAACACATACCCTCCATCTGTCCAAATATAATGTTCAGACAATAACTTCTTGGTATAGGTATAGGTTTTGTATAAGCATGATTAGATGTTCTGGCATTTCCATTTTCTCAATGTTACTCTGCAGCCTTCAATATGTATTGAAGCTCATTATCAAGAAAACAAAGATTCTCACCACTGGGCTAATTTGCAGAATCATTATAGATGGTGAAGAGATTGAAATTGTTAACAGCTTTAGTTTGCTTGGTTCATGGCACCAGCAGACCAGAAATTAAAAAATGTATTGCATTGGGAAAGTTTGCTATCAGAGACCTTACCAGAGTACTGAAGAGCAACAATATCAGTCTGAAGACTAAGGTGTGCCTAATACAGGACATGGTCTTCACTTGCTATGCATCAGAGAGCTGGACAATGACTAGGGATAATAGAAGGAGAATTGATGCCTTTGATCTGTAGTGCTGAGGAAGAGTATTGAATTTACCATGAACTGCTAAGAGAACAGGTTTGTCCTGGAGAGGATTAAACCAGGCTGCTATTTGGAGGCAAGGATTCTGAAGCTTCACCTGACATACTTTAGACCTGTTGCAAGAAGGGACCAGTCCTTGGAGAGGGACGTCATGTTTGGGAGGGTGGAGGGACAGCACAATAGGGGAAGACCCTCGATGAGATGGATTGATTCAGTGACTGGGTAATGGGGGTAGGTGTGTGAGAGAAAATAAGATTGGCACAGGATAGAGCAGGGTTTACGGCTGTTCTATATAGGGTCGCTATGATTCGCAGGTGACTCAACAGTACATAACAGCAACAACAACGTTACTCATGATTTCTTATGATCCACATAGTCCAATGCCTTTGCATAAGCAATAAAGTACAAATTCTGTGCTTTCAGCCAAGATACCTCTGACATCAGCAAAGAGATCCCAGGTACCACAGCCTCTTTTAAATCTCATTTGAACTTCTAGTAGGCTTTTGTCAATGCACTGTTTTTGTACTTTAATGCACTTTAGGATAATCTTGAACAGTATTTTGCTTGCATGACATTAATGATGTTGTTTAATAATTTCCATATTCTGTTAGATCATATAACTTCCAGTCAATTTGCTAGGTAGTCATTTAAATTTCTTGGCCATGTACAGAGTTGCTTCTGTTTGTTGAAACATGCCAGATGGAGTCCTATAATTTCCTGATGCCTTATGTTTTTGCCTTTGCCTTCAGTGCTGCTTGAACCTCATCCTTCATTATCATTGGCTCTTGACAATTTGCTACTTCTTGAAATGATTCAGTGTCAATCAATTCTTTTTGGTACACTGATTGTGTATTTTGTGTATCGCCTCCACTTTTTTTTTAATGCTTCCTAGATCAGTCAAGATTTTGCATGCTGCGTCCTTCAATATTGCAATCTGAGGCTTGAATTTGTTTCCCAGTTCTTTCAGCTTGAGAAATACCTACCAAGTGTCAGTTTGTTGTCTTGGGGTGACTAATAGGTTGCTGTGATGCTGGAAGCTATGCTTTCAGATACCATTTGTCTGACAGTCTATAAAAACACAATCCTGGAATCTTAGTTTTGTGTTTTTTTGTTTTTGGTTTTGGTTTTTTTTTTTCTGGTAAAGGGATGGTGTTCCTAGAGATACTTATTAACAGATGAGGAAGTAGAGGTTCTTAGAAGTTGACCTAGCCGAAGTTGTGCAATTAGATAAAACCAAAGAGCGAACATCTACTTTTTCAGACTCCTATTTCTCTTTTGGAGCTCTGATGGCACAGTGCTTGAAATTCTTGGCTCCTAACCTTAAGGTTGGAATTTCAAACTATCAGCCACTCTGTGGAAGAAAGTTCAAACAGTCGAAGTCCATAATGATTTACAGCCTCAGAAATGTTTAGGGGCAGTTCTTTGTCTAATAGGGCATTAAGATTTGGAAGTCATTTTCCATTTCCTTGGGCTAGATCCTCTCCTGTATCTTATATTAGTATCAATACATTTTTAATATGATACTTTTCATATTTGGCAAGTAGGTATTTTTCTTTCCCTTTCAATCGCTCATTCACCTAGTGTCTCTGTGAGGTACCTAGATAATATTTCAGCCTAAGAGGATCTCATTAAAAAAATTATTGAATTTAATCAGACAGCTTGCCTCCGTTTTCTGACTCATGTACATAGATCTCTCACTCACTCACTCATTGCTGTCTAATCTGAACCAATTCATAGCTGACTCAGCAGGTTTTCAGAGGCTGTAAAGTCCATGGTATGAGATAATCCATCTATCTTCTGAGGAGCAGTTGGTGGATTTGAGTTGACAGCTTACCTTACCCACTGGGCCACCAGAGCTCATTTGTAAACCAGTAAATCATTAAATAAATACTCATGAATCCTTATACAAATCTTGCCATTAGAACATTTTTCTAGTATTAATCTGAATTTTACCAAATTCTTGCAGTGTTTTTGATGAATTACAGATAAAATCACTGCTGGTTTTATTCAGTCGGAAACTCCCACGTTTCATAGACTGTGTGTGAGTGTGTGGAACAGGTTAACTTATTCTAATGGAGGCTTCACTAAATAAAGCTAGTAAGCAGTCAAGCAGGCTTAGATATGTGTGACTTGGCCAAATGGGCAACAAAAGGATTTGAATCATAAATATATTATACATTTCTTTATTAAGAAACTTTAATTTCTATTTTTCCAAATTTTGCCACTGATTAAATAATGTTGTTCATTTTCAGAATGAAACTGGACACATAAAGTCACATAGATTATAGAAATCTCTGCAATTTTCATTTCATCCTGGGGAAAATTATCCCAATACTTTAGTAAAAAATCATATATCATTATTTTGTCAGATTTTGCTCCCAAGAATGAATTACGTAAACATTTTCTTAATCCAAAAATATCTTTTTTTAAGGAAAAAAAAGAAAAAGAATTTGGAAAAATACACATGCACATTGAATGTAAGCTATTGGTCCTGAATCAGGTGAAAAATATTGATGAAAGAGTTGTTATAGTAAGGTTCATTCATGACTTGTCAACATCTTTGATGTTTTATTTTTTACGACTGGGAAAGTATTTTCTGCTAGGGGAAAGAAAAATTCTCAGGGACGCCTAAAAAGAAATTATTAAACTCTTTGAAAGTCTCTCAACTGAAAACTGTGGTACTTCTGTGAAGTAGCTTTGTGGTCTAACAGTTTGGAGGCAGTTTTTCACCTAATATTAGTAAGAGAACTTTCCAGTAGATTAATAGGATCCTGAAATGAGCTCAAGTAGGTCACGTTTACTCAGGATATGAAGAAGAGGAGATTAAAAGGAAAAACTGCTTGTGAATGAGAAGGAATTTATTTCATGCTCAGTAGATTTTGGCATTCTAATCTTCAGCTGCTGGTTAAATATTCTTATAGGGATATGATTCCATTATATATCCTGAATGGAAGAAATGCTAAAAACTATTGCTACCTTGACCATAAATAAAATTATAAAGCAAACAAACATTGATAGTTCAATTTTTTTTAAGTGCATAGCCAAGTAATAGAAGAACTATGTCACATAGGTTTGTAACATACAACAACTTTGGCTTTGGTTTTGATTTTTATATATAAAGTGAATTTTTTGTCTTGGTAGTTAATTGATGACCGTAACTTTTTGTTATTTTCTTTGCTACCCTTTTCCCATTTGATTCTCTATTATAATTTCTCTTTTGGAATATTTTATTAGTCATTGATTCAACAACCTAAGGAACATTTTCTTAAAAATTATTTTAAAGTACATTTTCTTTAGATCAGATATGTACATATGCAAGTGAATGATAATTATAATTATAAATAATTATTTTATGCCTTGATACTAAATTTGTCTTGATACTAAACTTTATGTAACTTTTAGTTTTTAGTGAATACTGAGATTGTACACAGCTTTAGTTTGCTTGGCTCCACAGTCAACACTCTTGGCACCAGTAGCCAGGAAATTAAAAGGGACATTGCCGTGGGAAAGTCTGCGGTTAGGGACCTCTCCAAAGTACTGAAGAGCAATGGTGTCTCTCTGGAGACTAAGGTTTATTTGATACAGGCCATGGTCTTCGCAATCACTTGTTATGCATCAGAGAGTTGGACAATGACCAAGGAGCATAGAAGGAGAATTGATGCCTTTGAGCTGTGGTGCTGGAGAAGAGTATTGAGAATACCATGGACTGCTAGGAAAACAAACAGATTTGTCCTGGAAAGGGTTAAACCGGGTGGCTCCTTGGAGGCAAGGATTCTGAGACTCCGTCTAACATACTTTGGACATGTTGTGAGGAGAGACCGGTCCTTGGAGAAGGACACCATGCTTGGGAGGGTGGAGGGACAGCGCAGGAGGGGAAGTCCCTCTATGAGGTGGGTTGATTCAGTGACTGGGATAATCGGGATGGGAGTGTCAGAGACAGTGCAATTGTCACAGGACAGAACAGAGTTTAGGGCTGTTGTACATAGGGTCGCTATGAGTCGCAAGCGACTCGATGGCACATAACAACAACAATAACACTGTTGTTGTTATGTATTGTGGATTCAAAACTGACCCATAGCTGACTTCCTGGCAGACTTTCTGAGGCTGTAAATTGCATAGGAGTTTACCCATCTTCCCCTGCATAGCCGCTGGTGAATTTAAACGGCATGCCTTTCGGTTGGAAATGAAACTCTATACCACTAAACCACCAGACATCACGTTTTAATGAATATTTTCCCTAAATACTCTTATACTTCCATTCAGGATACATAATGGGTTATCTGAATAGAAATATTTTATTTTAGTGAAAGGTAGGATATTTTTACATAATTTTTATGCACAGCTATGCTAACAAAGTTATTTTTCTTTCCAGCAAGTGTTTATATAGTATTCCTGCAGTAAGGAAATATTGAAGTTCTTTAAGACCTGATGTTGATTATTAAAATGAAGATGATGTTGTTGTTGTTATGTGCCATCCAATTGCCCTCGAGTAACGGCGACCCTATGTACAATAGCTCTGAACCTTGCCCTATCCTGAGCCAGTCTCAGTGACTCAGGATCCCCATTGCTCCAGTACAGCGTCAGTCCATCTCATCCTTTCCTGCCTGTCTCTCCACCCTTTCAAGCTTGATACCCTTCTCCAAGTTCTGGCCCCTCCACGTGCCCAAAGTATGTGAGACAGAGGTTCAAAATTCTTGCCTAAAAAGAGCAATTTGATTTCGCTGTCTCCAAGACAGACCTATTTGTTCTCCTGGCAGTCCAGGGAGTGTTCAATAGTCTTTTTCCAGGACCACAATTCAAAGGCATCCAAATTATGTTGTTCATGTTCATGAGTCTTGATCTTCTTTACTGAGTGACACAGGAGCAGAGATTCCGGCATAGAGAGAGGGAGGGGCAGTCGGGATCCCTCCTGGCCCCTATAGCCCAGGGTATTGGCAACTTTCCATGGATGGGAGGGAGCTCGAGGTGGGGGGAGAATAGGAGTAGGGAGTGTTGGGGTGGGGGCTGGGGGTGTGGGAGGTGCGGATGGTGCTGGGATTTTGATGTCTGGCAGTTGGAGAGGAGAGAAAAGGACAAGTGGGAGCATTTATACAGTGAACTGGTAAAGCATTTATTGATGGAGAAATGCATTGTCAATCAGGCTGCTTTGTGACCTTGGTTTCTTTCCTGCCTTCGGCTCATTGTTGCCTTAGAACTTACTGAGTAGTGCGGGTGAAGGGAATGGTTCAAGCTGCTTTACGGTAACTGGAAATGCATGTCCGTGATATGGAGTGGGGAAAGTTCTACGTTAGCACTTTGGTTAAAACATTACTCTTTAAAAAACCAGGGAACTCTTGTGGCCTAGTGCCGAGAAGCTGTGCTGCATCCTGAAGGCGAATGGTTCGAAACCACCAGCTGCTCCACGGGAGATGAATGGGCAATCTCCTCCAGTGCAACTAATTGCTTTTAAAATCCCACCTGAATATTAGAAAATTGTGTTCACGTGGAAAGATCACTGCCAAAGAGAATACATACAAAATATATATGCAAATCCCAGGGTGTGATTTAAATTGTGTTATGCTTTTAACATTAATAACAGTTTTCTGGCATGTTGTTGTTAAGTGCCATGGAGTTGAGTACAACTCAAAGCTACCCTATGAACAATAGATCTAAACTCTGTCCTGCACCATCCTTATCATCCTTGATGTCTTTGAGTCCATACAAATGTTCAATAACAATTTTTTATTGTTAGGCTCAATACCTATTAACTTGAATTATCCTATTGACTTGAACAGATAATTCTATTAAGGCATTGTTTTCTGTGCTAAGTCTGAAACTCTACTTTGTAAAGTAGTGTTTATGGAGTTCTGGAGAAGTCATCTTTAGAATTGCACTGCAAACTTAAACACAATGCCTCTAGCTGTTTTGGATGAATTTTGAAGGGAATTGAAAAAAAGAAGTACTTTACACATATATATCTTCAGCATATGAATCAATATATGTTTATTATTTTTTTAAAAAATAGAATACTTTGTTTCTGTAATCAAACCCATACAGATAAAACCTTACATATTTAATACAGTGTGTTTCACCTGTATAAATGGGGAAGAATTAAGTTTTAACATTTCTAAACCAGTAACACATCAATTATAGTGTGTTATTCATCAATGGTTCTGCAGTTATTGGAACAAAAATAGAGACATCCAGCACACGCTACTAAAAAAAAAAAAAAGACAAAACAAAAGCTCAGAAAACAGCAAAGTTCTGTTACTATTGAGGTATTTGGCACCATTTTTCTTTTAAGAAATTTCTCAGTCATCATCTGAAAAGCAAACATTCTAGAATAGCATCATTAAAAAACTAACTCTGAAAAAAACCCAGCACAGTCACAATTACTTATCATGAAGCAGATACAGATATCTATTCTTCTTTCCTAGTAGAGGGCCCAAAGGATGATGTACCAGATCAGGTCTGTACCAGAGCTGTGTCAAACCATCCTTTAATTCTTTTTTGAAAGTAATGTTTACATACAGTGAAGTATACCAATCTGTATGAGCCCATTCCAAGCTGTTTGACGACTGTGATGTGTGTGTCATCCAAACCTTTATTAAGATATAGAACATTTACCCTTAGAAAGTTCTCTCATGTCCCTTTATAGTTAATTCCTAACCTGTTGAACCATAGCTGTGATTTCTTCCTCTTGCTTGTTTTAGAATGTCATATGAATAAAATATACCATAAATACAACTATGTGCAAAGCGTCCTTCACTTAGTAATTGAACTCACAATATATTTTTGAGTCACTGATAAAATTTTAGGGAGCTCCAGTGGCCTAGTGGGAAAAAGTTGCATTGCAATCAAAGGCATGTTGTTCAAATCCACCAGCTGCTCTGTGGGAGAAGGATGGATAATCTCCTTACGGGATTAACTGCCTCTAAAAATCCACTGGAGTATCAGCTATGGGTTGGTTCCACAGCACACAATAACAACAATCCCACTGTAAAAAATTCAAATTATTCTTCTGCTTTGGCAAATTTTCCCTTTCAGGCCTCTTTCCAGCCATTCTCAATCTTGCCAGCAATGCGCACATCAGCACCAATGCGACGTGTGGTGAGAAGGGGCCTGAGATGTTTTGTAAACTGGTGGAGCACGTGCCCAGCCGCCCAGTGCGGAATCCTCAGTGCAGAATCTGCGACAACAACAGCGCTAATCCAAAAGGCAAGTGAGGTTGCTTCGAGTCAAATGTACCTATCAGAAATGGCCAGATTGGTGGAGTAGTTATGTGTCAAACTACTAATCAAAATGCTAATAGTTAAAACTTATGACCCCCTCTGTGGGAGAAAATGAGATCGTTTCCTTCCATAAAAATACTGAAGTCAGTTTATAATTGAGATGTGAGACCTACAGACTTTTATTAGGAGACCATGACCTTTACGTTCACATTCAAGAATATTTATTTTGTATAATGAACACTGCTTTAGAACAGATGAAGGGAAAAACTATCTTAAAGGAATATATGATTATGAATTATATGTATGAGAACAATCTGGAACAATGGATTCATTGTAGAGTGGGGTGGGGGGAAGAAAATGTGCAACAATGAGTTAAAAAAAGGGAAAATATAAAGGATATTTATTCCCACAGTCTTCACCCTTTAGAAGTATCAAAGCAAGAACTGAGAAGGCTGCATGCATCTGTTTTCTTTTAACAGAACGACATCCGATATCCAATGCTATCGATGGCACCAACCATTGGTGGCAGAGCCCCAGTATACAAAATGGGAGAGAGTTCCATTGGGTCACTATCACGCTGGACTTGAGACAGGTAGGTAAGACCACATGCTGCTGGACGGCATCCTTGTGGTGGCTTTTGGAAAACCTTTACTTGCTTTTTGTTTATTCTATATGTTGATCTAAAGTCACTGTTTTTTTTCCCACTAGATTAAATCAAACGGCTTACACAGGTAGTATGGGGTGCCATTTCTTGCCACATTTCTTATTCCTAAATGACTTTGAGAAGATGAATGGAGTTGTTTATCTCTAGGTTGATGATCTTAGATGCTGTAAGAGACCTTCATTCGTTCAGGATACCATACTGGCAAAGTGCCAACAGACACACTGCAGGGCAGCCCTGCCTCTTGAGTTGGTCATAAGCGGCTACTGAGTCTTCTATTCATGGTGACCTTGTGTATAACAGCATTAAACCGTGCCTGGTTATCAACTATCTTCATGATATTTAGTCTAATCAAGTAAACTGTTGTAACCATTGGGTGATGCCTTCCAGCCTAGGGTGAGGGGGCTGTCTCTTCTTCCAGTGTGATAGCAGACAATATTCTGTGTGATCCTCAATATTCTCTTGTGATCCATAGAGAGTTGGTGTGTAAGCTATAGTCACAAGCCCCAATTAGAGTTCTTCAAAATAGCTGTTGCATGACTTTCTCTGTCAGACTCCTTTGTGCTGTTATGAGGTGCTGTCTTTGGTTTCAGCTCACAGTAACCCTGGGTGCAATGAAAGAAACACTGCCTGGGTCTGGGCCACCCTAGCAACTGCTGCTGGACTTGAGCCCGTAATTGCAGGTTCATCTTTCTTGATCCATTTCATGTGAAGTATTTACATCCGTTATAAAATAGATACATAATTGAAGTGTCAATTGTAAGATTTAAATAATACTTTTGGAGACTTGAGTGATGAATATTCATAAATCTTTGAATAAGTGACAGTTAAAAATATGTTCAAGACTTTAATCTGAAGATAGGATAATAGTGTACAAAAAGCCCTTTGATAATATAATGACAGATAATTTGGTAGTAATCATAGAGGCAAGAGACAATCTTCCACATTTGGGTTCACCTAAAACTATACCTCCAATAGTTTTAAATCTTGAAAATAATAAATTTATACCTTGATACTTGCAAATCCCCATAACAGCAAAGATCCCTTTTCTGTCTTGATCTTTTTTTCATCTCAGAGGTAAGAACGCTTCTTTAGGACACTTTGTTTCCTGTCACCTCTTCAGTTTGTTTTGCTTTTGTAGGGATAAAAAGTATTACCATTTTCATCATTGGACATATGATACTATGTGAGGTTGTTGAAATTAACAAGAGGATATTTTATTTATAAACTTTAAACCAATCCTCTGCCCAGAATTCCTCATAATAGACTTTATAGTCAGGTAAACATTTTGCTTCACATTGGCCTGAATCTGCCGAAGGAATTCCAGAGAGAAGTACACATTTTTGGTCTTTAAGGCATGTTTTATAAATAAGCATGTATACATAATGATAGATGTCTCTAGATAATTTCTAGGAGTGTTGGTGGGAATGCTTCTAAAATAAGCTTATTTAAAAGAATTATTATACTCTTTACCTTTCACACATTGTAAGATTTCTGTTGTACAAAATGTACAAAAAGAGTATAGTTTGTTTGGTATAGTTAATGCATTTGACTGCTAACTAAAATGTAGGAAGTTTGAATCTACCCAGAGGCACCGTGTAAAGAACTCCTGACAATCTATTTACAAAAATTCTGGCATTGAAAATCCTATAGAGAAAACGTCAACTCTGGCACATGTGTCTTTGCCATGAGCTAAAGTCAACTTAACAGCAATTGTGTGCTTATATTGAGCACTTTCCTCCTTTTTATTTATGAAGCTTTTCTAAAAAAATAGAATATCTGAACCTACAGAAATGTGGAAAGCACACTAAAATGGACAGAACATATAGTCAACTCAAAACTGCAGAAATTATTAAACATTTGCTCTTATTTGTTTCATCTTGCGGTATAATTTTCAAGTGAATTGAAGTCATCATAGCATGTTACCAAGGTGCATCTTCAGAAACTAAGGATATTTGTTATGGAGAGAGACTATACCATTAATACATTTTAAAAAATTAATAGTAATTTATTAACAAGAATTTAGCCAACCATCCAAATTTCAGCTTTTGCCCACTAATGTCTTCTAAGATATTTTTTTTCCCCAAACCAAAATCTAAAAGGATCATTCATTCATTACATTGGTTATTACGCTCCTTAAATCTCTTTAAATAGTCTATGTCATGTCTCCTCAAAAGATAAATTGTAAATTCTAGCAACTAAGATTTTTATTTTAATCTTATATGCAAAGAGGTTATCCCTTTTATGTTAATTAAGGAGGATGAATATAGTATGTGTATTGAATAAATCTTTTGAGAAATAAGAGCACAAAAAAAGCAAGAAGAGGCAAGATGGGGGCCTCAACTCTAGCTCACTGCCTTTACAATAGAATTCAGTGATACACTGAATTATGTGGCTGTAACTTGAATGGGAGGAGAGTGCCCATTGTTCTATGGAAGGTCTAGTGGATTTCTTTATTTTCAGTTTCTCCCATTTGTAACTAAAGTGTCTACATTTCTTTTTTCTTTTTTTTTTTTAACCAAGTGTCTACATTTCAAAGGCATTAAATCTCTAAGCCTCCATCATCCAGGGTTCACATGCATTGAAAATACTGTGGTTTGGATTAAGCCTTAAAGACTTGAGTCTTTAAATGGACATTCTTGGTCTTTGCACTTTAAAAGGGTCCTTGGCAACAGATTTGCCCAGTGCAATACTTCTTTTGACTTCCTGACTACTGTTGCTTCCATGTTGATTGTGACTCCAAACAAAATAAAATCCTAGACAAATTCAATCCTGTATCCATTTACTTTAACCATATTTTTTGGTCCAATGATGAGGATTTTTGTGTCCTTTATGTTGAGGAATAATACACATTAAACCTTATACTCTTTATCAGTAGAGCTCAAAGTGTTTATCATTTTCTTCAAGCAAAATTGTCATCTACTTAACAAAGGTTGTCAATATGTGCTTCTACAGTCCTGACATTTCATTCCTTTGCATCTAATCTATCTTCTTGGATTATTTGCTCAGTGTATAACATCTACTTCCTAAACAACATGCCCCTGAAACTCTATGAACTTTTATAAATGTCAATAGTTATAGAAAGACTTTAGGCCTTTTGCTCATAGGGTTGCTATGAGTCTTGCTCGACTTGAAGGCAATCAACAACAACAAAATACAGATTAAAAAGGTATGAAGAAAAGATAGGCTCTGACACGGTTTTCTTTATCTTAAACTTTTCATTATTTCCTTGTTGTCTTTGAACAACAGCTTGTTGGTCCATGAATAGTTTCTACATGAATACAATTAAGTAAACGTCCCACCTGGTTTATTAAAATGAGGGAGAAAAAAAATGGACCCATTACCATTGAATTGATTCTGAGTCATAGACCCCTGTGAGTCAAAATAGAACTTCCTTATAGTGTTTTGAAGTCTCTAATATCCCAGAAGTACACACCTTTCTTTCCTGAAGTAGCTGGTGAGTTAGAGATACCAACACTAGCTTTTGGGTGAGTAGTCAAGTATTTAACCACTGTACTACCACTGCACTCTTAATGTAATGAGAGACCCCTTAAAGAATAGAAAAGGAAAGCAGAAGAGCTGGAGAAGCAGACATGGCAGTGGAAACAGTGTCAGAGTAATGTAATATGAAAAGGACTCAGTCAGACATTAAGGACTCTATGATGAAGAAGCCCTAAACCTTGGAGTGCAGAGGTCCTCTACCAGCTGAGAAAGGCAAATTTTTTTCTTAGAGTCTCCGGAAGAATTATAATCCTTCTGATAACTGGTTTTAGCCAAGTGATACCATTTTGGAGTTCTGGTTTTCAGAACTATAGGATAATCGTAGTGTATTGTTTTAAATAGGCAAGTTATTGAGAACATATTACAGCAGATGCAGGAGACATATACGGAGCTCTTCTTTTTCTTGCTCTTCTTCTACTTTTTTCATGTTCATACACCCCTTCCTCTCCCCTGCCTCATATATATTTACTGAGATGTGTTTGTTAAATCTTTAATGTCCAAGTATTGACACATTATAGGTGCTGAGTAAATAAATGCAATGGAAACAGATGTTTTTCTGTCTTCACTCTTTAGATTATTTCCTTCCTCTTCCAATCATCTTGATTAAAAGATGAAAATGAATAAGTTCTCCACTACTTGTTTCAGTCCTTAGAATGTAAAATTCAAAGTTTGCATTTCTAAAGCAAAAAAAAAACCCATAGAAATGTCTTAATATCAGAGTAAAAACAATTAAATACTATAACTATGTTCATAAAGCTTAATAAAGACCCCTGATAGCATAACTTGTAAGTATCCTGACTGCTAAGTGAAAGGTTGTAGGTTTGATCCTACTCTGTGGCTCCTCAGGAGAAACTGTCTGCTCCACTGCCTTAGAATCAATTTAGACTCATGAAGACCATCCTCGGGGTTTCTGAGGCTGCAAATCTTTAAGGGGAAAAATTTGCCGTCATTTTCTTGAGAAGCAACTGGTAGATTGAACCATCAACCTTTCAAGTAGTAGCCCAACACTTTATGCAGTTTACTATTAGCCTAGAAAACACTATGAGCAGTTATACCTGTGTCACTCTGAGTTGAAATTGTCTTGACAATTTTATTTTAGAACAAGAGCTTTATAGAGTTTTATCAAAGGAACATAAGAGCTTTGTCAATGTTTGAGAAAAACAGGTCATATCAACCAAGGTCCTACAGGAAAACAGTAACGATACTGGTTATTTATGGGATCATATTCAGTATTTTTTAAAATGGTTAAATGGTAGTAGCTGGAAAAAGAAACAGCAAGGTAGTTATACTCAGTAAGAGCTGAGAAAGATGAATTAGAGGAGTGGGGTTGGGATTGTTAGTATCTAAGGACTTGGAAGGAGACCACCTCATTTATGGGATGTAAAGAAAATCATGTGGGGAGTGCTGAGAAAGTGAGACACTAAAGTCCT